GGGGGGGGGGGCATGTGCCCGCATGTGTGTGTGTGTGTGTGTGTGCGTGCATCTGGGCACGGGAGGCACAGGGCGCCTGGGGGGCACGTACGGTGATGACCGGGAGCTGGATGAGGCTGCGCGAGAGGAGCCAGGCGTCGGAAGGGGCGGCATCGGTCGGCCGCGCCGCGAGCAGGGCGGCCTCCTCGGCCGGCGAGGCCCGCATGGAGCCGGCTACTCGCAGGCCGCCGGAGGCCCGACAGTGCCGGCAGGCGGTGCCATCCTCGATGTATACCTTCTTGAAGTAGGCCGCCAGCACCAGGAAGGGGTGCTGGTCGGAGACAGCTTTGGGTGTGTGTGTGTGTGTGTGTGGAGGGGACGGGGGGAAGTGGGCCAGGGAATGGGAGGAGGGTGTCAGCAGGGGCCAGGTTCGGGTGGGGGGGGGGGGGAGGAATTGGCTCGCGGAGCCGAGAGACAGGCGCGCCAGAGGGGCAGAGCAGGACGCACGCAGGTCGAAGAGCAGGGCGCGCGACATGCCCGCCGCCAGGAAGAAGCCGCCCTCGGGCGCGGCCAGGGGCCAGTGCGCCAGGGCCCCGGGGGTGGGGCCGGTGCCCGGGGCGCCGGCCACCAAATCGTCACGCCAGGGCACCCGCAGGCCGCAGGACGACACAAACACCCCGGCCAGCGAGGGGCAGCACTTGCCGAGCGGAGCCTGGAGGGTGGCCACAGCCAGAAGCCGGTGCTTGGGCTGATAGTGGATCCGGACCTCCGGGCAGCGGAGCAAAGGCAGCACCCGCGCCGGGACCGGGCAGGCAGCCACCGCAGCCGACAGGGGAGCCGGCTCGGCCCCGGGCCCGGCGCCGTCGACACTGTCGAGCACCGCGAAGGCGGTCAGCCGCGGGGCCGGGCGGCCGGCCCCGGCCCCGGCCCCGGGCGCCGGCCGAGCCTCGGCCAGGCGTCGGCGAACATCCGCCCGGCGGGGGTCCCGAGCGGGCAGGGCAACCCGCACGAAGAGGTCCAGCCGGTCGCACTCGCTGCCCCCGGCGAGCAGAGCCCCGGGCCGGGTGAGGGCAATGCGCCCGGCGCTGTTCTTCAACACATCGAGTGTGATCGGGGTGTGGTCCACCCGGGCGGCCGCATCGCCGGCCACGCTGGCCGACGGGCCCCCGCTGGCAGAGGGCAGCTCGGCCGACCGGCCGGAGAAGAACCGCACCCAGGCGCCCGGCTCGAAGGCCGGGCCTTGGCGATCCGGGCAATCGCCATGGTGCTCGCCCGGGCGGGGGTCAGCCCCGGCCAGGCAGTGGCCATCGCACACCGGCGGCAATGCCAGCCGGATCATGTCGAAGGGCGAGTCGGTCCGGCGGATGCGCGCGGCCAGCCACACGGCGTCGTCGGTGGCCCGGCCGCCGGGGAACCCCAGCTGCCCGGGCACTTCCGACGGATCGACCACGGCCAGGGTGATGCGCTGGGGCCCGGCAGGCTGGCAGGCGGCCCCGGCGTCCGCCGACCCCGGCGCCAGGATGCGCTGCGGCTCGAAGTGGGCGCCGTGCTTGGTGGACCGGTAGGGGATGGTGGCCTCCAATTGGAGGAAGGCCGCGCCGGAGTGGTGATCCGCCGCCGCCAATTCGAGAGCAATGAAGCGAATGGCCCGGCCGGTGCCGAGGACCTCGGGCTGCATTTGCCGGGCACGCGCACGCGCCGATCCAGAGAGGGGGAGAGAGAGAGAGGGAGGGAGGGAGGGAGGGAAAAAGCACCGGCAGGGGGCCGGAGATGGCGGTCGTGTCAGCGAACGGCAGTCGGGGAGCCGGCTGGCGGCCGAGCGAAGGGTCGAGGGCAAGACAGCCAGAGGGTGAAGCACTGCCAGGGGCGCGGCGGGCCGGAAAAGGGAGCCGGCCCCCCGGCGGCTGCAACTGCCGGCCAACGTACCGAGCATGAAACCAGCGCGACAAACTCCCCGGGAGCCGGGGCCACGCCCCAGGCGGCCGGAGCCTGGTCCGCCCGGATCAGGGCCCCCGACAGCGACCCAGCCGCCAGGGGGGCCATCTGCCCGAACACCGGCCCGAGATACGGCGACAGGGACTCCAGCTTCAGCTGGGTCGACTCGACGCTGTGGAAGCCAATGCGCACCCGGGCGCCTGACAGGTCCACCGCGCCGTCGAGCTGCGGCGCGCACACGCGCACCAGCAGCCCGACATCGCCCGCCCGGGCAGCGGCGCCAGCAGCCCCGGCTGCCAGGCGGCCCACCGGCCGCGCACGCAGCAGGCCCAAGTCCGCCGGCAGGTGCTGCCCGGCGGCCGGGCGGAGAGCCGCCTCCAAGGGGGACTCCTCCGCCGGTAGGGCCTGCAGGCTGAAGTTCACCAGACACCCGGGGCTTGGGGGCAGGGAAACGGCCTCGGGCGCCGACTCGGGCCCGGCCGCGGACATGGGGCTGGCCACCGGCGGCAGGAAGATGATGTTCTTCGGCCGGGCATCCACCGCCAGCCCGAAGAGCGAGGACACCGGGTGCGTCAGGGCCGCGCCCGGGCCGGCCGACAGCGAGCTATATGCCAGGGCCGCGCGCACCGCGTCCTCCAGCCACGCGCGGGACACCCGGCTGAGGGCCGGGCTGCGAGAGACCGCGGCCACCAGCCGCGCACACAGCAGCCCCAGCTGCACCTGCATCTCCAGGCAGGCTTGCTTGCTGTGGGTGGACACGTGCGGCAGAGCGGCCACCGAGCCCCAGGCCGCGGCCGCCAGGCCGAGTGCCCGCAGGGCCAGCGCCGGGCGCACTGGCCGCTGCATGCTGAAGTCCCGCCCGAGCAGGCCATCAAAGAGGGTCCGCCGCATGGTGGCCAGCACGTCGGCCGGCACATCGGCCGACTGGGCCTCGAGGACCGCATCGGCCTTGGCCGGTTGGATAATGGTCAGCGACCGGGTGAAGGAGGTCAGGCCGAGCGGGGCCCCTGTCAGGTGGTGCGCCGCCAGCGTGTGCAGCAAGTCCAATGCCCGGAAGAGCTGGCCCGAAGCGCTGGCACCGGGTCGCATGGTGTCAGGCATTCGGATTGGACCGGCGGAGGGGCCGGGCGGGGGGGGGGGGGACAATGAGAGACGTCAGTGGCAGACCCATTGGCCGAGGGAGCCCGAGGCGGCCGGAGCCACCACCGGCACCGGCACCGGCACCGGCACCGGTACTGGCACTGGCAGCGACATCGACACCGACACCGACACCGACACCGACACCGACACCGACACAGAGCCGGGAAAGGGGCACCAACAAAAAGATAACGCACAGGAAGAAGGACACCAGCTGCTCCATCAGCTGGGCCACCATGCCACTGGAGGTGAGATTCGACGCCAAGGACAGGCCGCTGAAGGATGCATGTCGCGCGGCAACCGTGACAATGGCCCGGGCCGTCCAGTACTGTGGGGGAAATGGGGGGCAGGAGAGGCGCGCGCGCGCGCGCGCGTACGCATGGGCGAGTGTCCACCGGGAGCCGGGGGGGGGGGGGGGGGGGGGGTCGCGGTGGCGGGGGCAGGGAGCGCAGGCAGGGAGGATGAGCAAAAAAAAAAAACAAAAAAACACCAGAAGGAGGACCGCCCCAAAGGGGGGCCGGCCGGGGGGACGACAGGCGGCGCACCTCGAAGGCCACCAAGAAGTCCAGGTGGCTGTCGCGCTCGGCCGGGGACATGTGCGCCAGACCCGGCGGGGCGGACATCCGGGCAAAGAGCATGGCCGACGCGCCGGGCGTGTGGTAGGGGCTGTGGAGGTCATCATCCCCGGGGGGGGTGCCGGGCGGGTGGGCCGGCGGCACCGGCGGGCACAGCCACTGGTGCCGCTGGCCAATCCAGTAGACCGAGCGCTGGATGAGCCGCGTCAGCTGGTCGCGCTGGCTGAAGAGCGACTGCTCGACGAAGTCCCGGCTGTTGGTGAAGATAGTCAGCCGGCCCTGGTCCGGGGAGATGTCAAACGACCGGCGCAAGCTGCGCAGGGCCCGGCGCGCGGACTTCAGCGAGTGAATGGCCAGGTCCGAGGGGCCGAAGTACTCGGCCGACAGGGCCGCCGGATCGGCCGCCAGATCCGCGCTGGTCGCCCCGTCGGCGCTGGAGTGCGTGCTGCGGATTTGGGCCGACCGGACGAAATTGTGCAGCAACATCGCCCGGACCATCAGCACGCCGGAGTGGTCGCTCACCACCTGGCCGATGGCCGTATTCAGCAGGGGCGCCACCACGTCGGCCAGCAGGGTCCGTGGGAGTTCCTCCACGCGGCGGATGGTATGCCCGGGCGGCGCCCGCATGGAGTACAGCCGCGGCCCGATGATCCGCGTCAACCGGGCAAGCAGGCTGCCGAGGATTTGGCACTGGCGCTGGGCGTGCACCGATTGGGAGAAGACCAGCAAGATGGCGCACATGCGCAGGTCGCCGGCCGGCTCGGATGCACCCCGGTCCGCCAGCGCTCGGTCCACCAGCGCCGCCTGGTCATAGATCAGCTGCAGGTGCCGGTGCCCGGCATTCCACTCCTCGGCGAAGAGGTCCACTTGGGAGGAGCTGGCGAACAGGTGCGTCGGGCGCTCGGACAGCCAGGGCCCCAGGGCATCGCAGGCCAGCTGGTGCGCCCACACCCCGAGCGCATGGTACCAAAGGGCCCGGCAGGTGGCACGCACCGCCGGCCCGTCCAGGAGCAGGAACAGGTCGATGGCCGAGCGGAAGCGCCCGGCCCCGGCCACCTGGATCCGACGGAGCTCCACAATGTCCTGGGTCCCGGCCGGGGCCAGCTCCGGCGAGCACATCCGCACCGCCCCGGCCAGCGCATCGCACAGGGCCACCAGCCGGAAGTAGTGCACCAGGACTTGGTGAATGGCCGCCGCCGCCGGGGGGGGGGCTTCCTGGCCGCCGGGGCTGCCGGAAGCCGGCGGTGACCGGGCCCGGTCCACCTGTCGCAGGAGGGCCAGGAACTCGCGGCCGGCATCCTGCCGCAGGGCCTCCAGCCGGCGGATGCGTGCATTCAGCGACGCACCGATGGCATCGCCAACCCGCTGGAAGAGCATGGCCAGGCCGCTCTCCGGGTCGCTGAGCGCCAGCGAGGGGGATGCCGGGGCCGAGTCCGCCTGCTGCTGCTGCTGCTGCTGCGTCGGGGGGCCCGAGTCACCGGCAGCCGGCGAAGCGGGCCCACGAGAGGGCCCATCGGCCCCGGGGGCTTCCGCATCGAGCATCGACAGGGGCAGCAGGCTGGCCAGGCCCTGGCCGGCGTGCGACAGGGGCAGCACCCGAGTGCCCTGGGACACGGCCGGCAGGCGCCCGGGCCGGATCATCAGCAGGCGCTGCGAGGAAAACTCCATGCGCAGGCGCTTGTCATAGGGGATCAGCTGCAGCCAGGGCATGGAGGACTTGCTGGCCCCGCCGGCCAGCAGGCCCAGAGACGGCGACGGCGAGGGGAAGGCCGAGGACAGGGGCGACATCAGCGAGAAGGACAGGGAGGAGCGGATGCCGCCCGGGGCCCCGGCAGCCCCATGCCCCGGGGCCCCGGAGGCCGGTGAGGCCGGCCCCGACGCCAGGTCCAGCGACAGGTGCGAATCCGCATAGTAGAAGAGCGACGTCGAGGAGGACCCCAGCGGGCCGGCCGCCTCGTCGGGCGGGGCGAACCCCGGCGAGGCCAGGGGGTCCAGCCGCCGGAGATGCCCTGGCGTCAGGCCGGCCCCGGGCGCGCGCTGGCTTTCCCGCAGGGCATTGACGTCCTCCCGGTGCGAGCGGACCATGACGATCAGGTGCTGCGGGAGCTCCGCAGCAGGGGGGTCGGCGGCGGCGGCGGCGGCGGCGGCGGCGGCGGCGGCGGCGGCCGACGCCGACGCCGGCTGGGCGCCGCTCGACTTGTCGCCGCTCGACTTGTCGCCGCTGCCGCCGCTGCCGCTGCCCCAGCCCGACAGGCCGATGGCCGACATCGAGGCGCTCAGGCTGCTGGTGCCGGAATGGCCGCCGCTGCTGCCGCTGCCACCGGGCTTGGACTCGAGCCCGGCCCCGGCGCCGGTGGCAAAGTCCGCCGGCAAAGTCATCCCGGCTGCCGGGTTGAACTGCTGCCAGGGCAGGAGCGGTGCCTGGGAGCTGGGACCGGCAGCCCGGCGCACCTCCGCCGGCCCGGTGCGGAAGTTCTGATGGAGGAAGTTGAACCAATTCCGTATGATCAGTCGCAGGTCCTGGTACTTGATGTCGTCCTGCGGGGTGCGGGGTGCGGGCGGGGTGCGGGCGGGCGGGCGAGCGGGCGCGCACGCGGCCATGGCCCCACACGTGGGAGACCCGCAGGACCGGAGGGACCCGGAGAGGAGACATGCGTTAGCCTACCGAAGGTGTCCTTGGAGGAGCGAACGAACGGGGGGAGGGGGGGGGGGGGGGGGGGACGGGAGAAGCCTGGCTCCCGCCGGCACAGAGGCCCGCACGCACCTGCGCGCCGATGACAAAGAGATGCAGAACCGGCTCGCTGGTGACCGACCAGACCGAGCGCCCGGCGGCGCCGGCCGCCTGCTGCTGGATGTACTGGTCAATTTCGACGAAAGCCACCGGCAGGGACCCGGCATGCTCGACCACCCGCCGGGCGGCTGTATCCACGAAGAGCCGCATGTTGATCGACTCCGCCGGCAGGGGGTCCACGAAGAGACGGAGCTCGGCGGCATCGAGGAGCGAGCCGGCCGGCCGACGGGGCGCGGATTCCGGGCCCGGCCCCGGGGCATCGGCCCCGGGCAGGACCCCCGGGCCCGGGGAGGCCGGCGGCGAGGAGGCCACCGAGCCGGCACTCTGCCCGGAGGGCGAATGCAAGGAATCCTGCGACAAGGACCCGGGACTGGAGGCCGGCCCGGGCCCCGGGGTCCCCGGCGCCAGGGGCAGCGACTCGGCGCCCGGGCTGGCCCCCTCGGTGGGCAGGCGCGTGAAGGCCGACGGGCCCGCATCGCCGGCGCCCGGGGCTGGCAGGGTCCCCGCACGGCGCCGCCCAGGGGACATGGCCGATCCGAGCCCCGAGGTGGAGGTGGAGGCGGAGGTGGGACCGGAGCCGGGCCCGGCTGGCGTCGAGGCGGCGGCCGCCGCGCGGGCCGCCGACCCGGCCACCTGTGCCACGGGACATGGCAGCGGCGAGAAGGGCAGCTGCAGCAGCGGCGACAAGGGGGGCCAGTCACGCTCACGCTCACGATCGGCGGCCAAAGGGGACACCGGTCGGATCCTGGCCCCGGCGGCCGGCGTGCCCTCACTGCCATCCACCAGCGGCAGGTCCACCAGCTCGATGTCCGGCGACTGGGAAAGGGCGCCGGGCCCGGAGCCCGGGCCAGCAAAGGGGCCGGTGCGCGCGCGGGGAACCGCGGCCCCGGCGGCGCCCGGGCGTCCGCGCGGCAGTGGCTGCACCACCGCCCCCGAGGCCGACGACCCGAAGGGGTCCGGCACGGCGAGCGGGACTTGCAGCGAGCTGACATGGCTCTCCAGCTCCTTGGCAATGAAGGGCCAGTGGCCGAAGGGGTCATAGTCTGGGCGGCGCATCCGGCCGAGGCCACGGTCAGCACATGCCCGGGGGGGGGGGCGGGGCGGGGCGGGGCGGGGCGCGGCGCGGCGCGGCGCGGCGGGGGGGTCCCGAAGGACGCGCGGGTCAGGGGCGACACGTACAGGTGACGATGGCCGGCGGCAGGTCCGCCGGGCCGAGGGAAATCGACCCATGGCGCAGGGAGGCCAGGGTTTGGACCGGGTCAGGCTGGGCCGCCGGGGCCGGGCTGCCGGGCGGACCCGGCGACGGGGCGGACGCGCTGCTTGCCCGTCGAGACGACCCGGGCGTGGGCGTCCGAGCGGGCGACTGTGCCTGGTGCTGCTCCTGAGCAAGGACCTGGTCCTCGTCGAAGTCCATCGGCGCCTCGACCAGGCTCAGGTGCGAGTCCGACGGCTCGAGCAGCATGCTGGGCGACCGGTTGCCCGTGAATGGCAGGTCGTCAGCCGACGGGGACCCCGGCAGAGGGGACCCCTCGGTGGGCGCCTCGGTCGGGGGCCCCCGCCGGGGGCCGCCTACCACCAGCGAGTGGCCGATGGAGGGCTGGGCCGCGCGAAGGAGGAAGTGCGTTGGGTTGCTCGGCGCCGGCCCGGGGCCGGGGGGCGTGGCCGCGGGCATGGTCTGGCGAGGAGGGACAGCGGGCGAGGGCGGGAGTCGGAGGGAAGGGCTCAAGAGGGGGACGAGGGGCAGAGGAGGAGGAGGAGGAGGGGCAGGAGGAGGAGGAGGAGGAGGGGCAGAGGGGAGGACAGGCGATCGCCGAGGCAGACGAATGGAAGAGGGGGGGGAGGGGGGGGGGGGGGTGACGATCGCCAGGGGGGGGCAGGCGTCAGGCCTGACATGGGGCGCTTCGAATGTCCCCATGTGCGCTAGATACTACATCCCCGCCCCCATGGGGGGGGGGGGAGGGATGGCGGCGCACCAGGGGCAGAGGGCCGCGGAGAGGGACCGGTGCCGGCGCACCCGGCTCGGCCCAAGGCCTCCGGGCCTTGCGCGGGGACTATACGGGGGGGCGAGGGGCCACACCCCGGCTCCACCATCCCCACCAGAGAGGCATTGGCTGGGCGCATTTGAATTGTTTTGAAGGTGGCAGGTGCCAACGGCGAGCTGGTCTGTTAATCTCCGCGGGATGCTATTGCTGTTGCCGGGGGGGGGGGGGGGGGGGGGGGGGGGGGTGCCTGTGTTTGCGTGTCCGTGCCCACACCAGGGGGGTGTGTTTGTTCTTTTCGAGCACGGACCCCGCAGGAGGCGCAAGCCGAACGTAGCATGCGCAGGCGGGACCGGGGGGGAGGGTGGACACCGGGCCGGCAAGCCTGCCCTTCCAACCGAGGGAGGGGGCCTCCCTCACAGGCGGTCTCAGCCCCGGCCCCGTCCGGTCCCCTCCACCGAACCTGGGCCGTTTGCTTGTGGCGATCGGTGGTGACCACCGCCAGCGGCTGGGCCAAAAGAGTCCACACGCTGATCCCACGACCCGGGGGCTTCGGCACCACCCCTTGCCCCTGCCCCTACCTGTGCCCCTCTCTCTCTCTCTCTCTCTCTTTCTCTCTCTCCCTCCCTCTCTCCCTCCCCTACACCGCCCCCCAGGACTCTCCAGCACCTCCACCACCCTGCTGCCATGGCAAAGAATGTGAGCAAGCTCTCCGAGGAGGAGCGAATCACTGTCTGCCGGAAACATACGTCCCTTTCTCTCTCGCTCTTTCTGCTCCTCCCCTTGTCCTCCGTATCTGCTGTCGCCTCCCCGCCTTGACGCTGCCGCCCGACATCTGGCCTGACACCCGGGAATGACCCCCCCCCCCCCTTCCTCCCTGTCTTCGTGCTCTCTTCTCCCCGCTTTTCCCCCCCTCCCCACCCCCTCCGCTCGCACTGTTCATCGGAGGCTTTTTCCTCCTGCCCTGGCTGTGGGTCATCAACTACATCATCTTCCGCCAGCATCTGAAGGATCCGGCCTGCTCGCCGGTGATCAAGCGCTGTACGCTTCCTCGCCCCGTTGGCATTCAGTTCGCCTCCACTCATGTCCCCTCTCTTTGCTGACCAGAGCCCCGGCCCGCCGACACAGACATCAACTACTCCCTGACCGGGGCCGTCCTGCTGACGCTGCCGTTCTTCGTGTGGTTCATCCTCTTCCAGACCCAGTGGCAGACGTGGGGCACATTCGGCGAGAAGATCGCCATTGTCATCCCGCGCGGGCACTGAAGTCCGCCGCGGATCGCGCCCCGGCTGGCCCGCTGGGCGCCCGCGCCCTCTTTCTCGTCTTGCAAAAATATACACCCCCCCCCCATTGAAGTGAGAGAGGCAGGAAGGGGGGCGGGGGGCGGCGCAAGAGAAGAAAGAACCCAGGGCCGGGGAAAGGGAAGCAGAATCAGGGAAATGTCTATATCTAGGGAACCCGGGCGGGCGGAGGGGTGCGGCAAGGCAAGGGAATCGAAAGCGCACGCGCCCCGGTTACTGCACCGGTCACAAGGAGGGGAGGGGGGAGAGCGAGAGAGGAAGAGAAGAGGGGAGGAGGGAGGGACAAGGACAGGGCAAACACCTGGAGGAGTGCGAAAGGCCGGAGGGAGAGGGAGGGGAAGCGAGGACGTGGGCAGGATGGCGGGAATGGCGAGAATGGCAGAGGAGGAGAGAAGGAGGGGGAGAGAGCGAGAGAGAGGAGCGAACGGAGGCAGGTACGACAAAGGCTGTCAGCTTGGACTGGCCAGCCTACGCCAGCCTACGCCGGCTGTCGGCGTGCTCGCGCCTCGTGCCGCAGGCTGGCCCCCGCCTCGCCCTGCTCCTCCTCGCCCGCCGCGGCCACCACCGCCACCGCCACCGCCGCCGCCGGTCCCGGGCGCCCCCTGTGGCTGCCATCCTCTCAGGAGCTTTTCGGCCGGCGCGGAGTCACCCGGCACGGGGTGCCCTTGGGGTGGGTGCCGCATACCCGACACAGGCCGAGAACCGACCGGCGCGCGCGCTCCTTGTCGGTAAGTCGGTAGAGGATGCGCTCGCCATCGGGGCCGGGCACCCGGACCGGCACCACACCACCATACGACAGCAGCACCAGGCATGGCTCATTCGGGGGGTGCTTCCCGCACCGGGGGCAGAGGCCAAGCCGGCGCCGGCGCTCGGCCTCGGCCGGCAGGACCATCTTCCTCGGGGTGGGGACCGACTCGAAGGTGGCCGCGGCGGCGGCCGCCGTCGCCGCCGTCGCCGCCGTCGCCGCGTCGTCGGCCCAGGGCAGCGGCCGCGCGCCCTGGTCGGCCACCAGGCCATCGGCATTCCAAGAGAGCCCGGGCGAGCGCAGCAGGTCCGGCATATCGCGCAGGCTCAGGTCCCCGGGCTGCGGGGACACCGACACCACCCCCCGGCGAAGCCACACCGGACAGGGCTCGGCCGCCGGGTGGTTGCCGCACGTCAGGCACAGCCCGGCTCGGAAGCGCCGGAGGCGTTCCTCCGGCGGGGCCATGCGCGTGCCTCGCATGAACACCCGCTCCCCCGGCAGGTCCGGCGTGCTGGGGGACTTCGGCACCAGGGGACATGGCTCGTCGGTGGGATGCTGGCCACAGGCCAGGCACAGGCGATTGACCAGACGCCGCTCGGCCTCCGGGGTCAGCTGCCGCGCGGTGCCCCGGTGCAGCCGGGCCACATCCCCCGAGCCAATCCCATCGAGGAAGTCCTTCGGCAGGGGAGCCGGCTTGTCATCGGGGCTGGTCGGGGCCAGCGTGGCTGCCAGCAGCCCACGCGCCGCGCGTCGGGGGATGGCCCGGTGCGAGGCATCCGCCAGCAGGGCCATGGTCGAGGGGGGCACCGCCGGCCGGGCCCGGCCACGCCGGGCCTTGCCCGGCGTCAGCACATAGTCCCCGATGTCGGCGAGGGCCGCACGCAGAGCCGGCGCCGACTTCGGGGCCAGGACCGCCGCCCCGGCCGGCCGGGCAGCCGGATTGGCCATCCACCGCCAGGACAGCGAATTCAACCGAAGCATGTCCTCCGGCGATGGCGACCGGGGGAAGGCCGCGGGCAGGGGGCCGGCCGGGCCATCGGCCGGCCGGCTGCCCGGGCCACCGGCCCACTGGCGTGCATCCCCCGGGATCAGGCCCAGGTTCGGGTGCTGGACGGCCATGCGCAACCGGCGCACCGTCGCCGGGCACCAGGGGACCGGCTCGGCGTGCCGGGCCTGGCCGCAGGCCGGGCAAATGCCCGCCTGGCGCAAGTGCGCCGCGCGCATGGACGTCGAAAAAAGCTGCCCATACACATAGACCGCCCCGGGGCCGGAAAGGTGCGGGCAGGGCTGCGAGGGAGGATGCTCGCCGCAGGCCAAACACACCCCGGCCACCAGGCGGTCATGCTCGAGCGAAGTCATGAAGGGCAAGGCCCCGGCCTCCGGCGGGGCCTGGTGATACCGCAGCCGGAGCTGCTCTATGGATGTGTCCGGCAGGAAGCGCCGGTGGGAGAAGGCTGGCCGCGAGGCATGGCCATCCGGGGCCGGGGCCGGGGCCGGGGCCGGGGCCGGGGCCGGGGCCGGGGTAGGGGCCGGGGCCGGGGCCGGGGCCGGCGTCGACCCGGCTAACCGCGACCGGATCCCCGAAGAAGGGGACCGCACGCCCAGGCGCTGGCCGTGGCTGCGCAGGGCCGCCTCGCGCGCGAACTCCCGCGACTGGAAGTACCCGACGTCGGGCACCGCGCGCGGCCGGGCCGGCGATCGGAAGGCCAGCCGCGAGTCGGCCACCAGGGACGGCCGCAACGGCGGCTGCCACGGCCGCAAACTGTCCCGATACGCCGGCGACACCAGGTGCCCGAGCCCGGTGGCCGGTGACACCTCCGACAGAGACCCCTCCGGGGCCGGGGTTGTCAGCGGGCTGGCCGGGAGCCACCAGAAGCGCGAGAAGTCGGTTTCCTCGTCCGAATCCTCCGACAGAGGCGGCGGCGGCGGCGGCGGCGGCACACTGGCAGCCGAGGGGCCGGGCCATGCCGCCGGCTCCGGGCCCGACTTGGTCGGAGGCTCGTCGGGTGGCAGGCCGGGCGGCGGGCGGTCGGCCGGCTGGCGGTCGCTGCGGTCGTTGTTGCTGGCGTCGTCGGGCGCGGCGGAGGAGCCCCAGGCCATGGCCTCCGGGGGGGGCCCGCCCCCGGGGGCATTGGAGGACGGCCGCCCGGGCGGCTCCTCCGACAGGCGGTAGTAATCCGAGTCCCGGTCATCGCCATACCCATGAGGATCATCATAGAGGGTGGGATGGCGCCCGGACAGGGTGGGCAGCGCGCCGGCCAGGGCATCGTGCGCCCCGGGCCGGAAGGCCGGCCGGCCGATCGGCACATACGGCCACCACCGGTCGTGCCAGGAGGTCTCCCGGTCCAGCACATGCGGAGCCATGGGCAGGTCATCCTGGAAGGTCCCGGCCGGGGTGGAGACCGTCTTATGCAGGGGCCGCGGCATGGCGGGGGGCCGCTTTGGGGGAGAGGACAAGCGCGACCCCGGCCCCGGGAAGACAGGCTTGGAGCCTGGCGAGGGGAGGCCCCCGCCGGGGGTGCGCATCCCCCCGATCACGGCCCCGGAGGCCATTTGCTGGGCGGTCAAGTGCGGCGGATACGCCGAGGAGGCATACAGCTGCGGGTTGAAGGGGGTCCCCTGGACGCGGCCCGCATGCGGCGGCATCTCCCCGGGCACAAACATCGGGCTCAGGGAGAAGGAGTCCGTCAGGCGTGGACCCGGGTCCGCCCGGGGAAGGGCCAGCCCCGGGCTCGGCACCGGGGCCACCTTCGAGGTGTGATCCGGTCGGAAGGAGGCGAAGGCCCGCGCATCGGCCGGAGGCCGAACGCGCCGCCGAGCCGCCCGCCCAAGTAGCGGATCCAGCGCGACGGTGTCCTGCCGGGGGGGCAGCAGCTCCGCCGCCGGGGGGAGAGGTGTCTTGGAAGGGGGGGGCCGCGGGTCAGCCGGCCCGCCGGCAGGGCGGACCTCGCCATCAGCGGGGCCACCGTTGCCGCTGCCATGGTGGCCGCCGGGGCCGGCCCCGGCGCCGTGACCGAGGAGGTCCGGCGCTTGGGAGAGAGACCGCCGGGCGAGGCGCTCGGTCACACGTGCATGGCACTGGAGCAGAGGCCCGCAAATGGCCAGATGGGAAGAAGAGCTGGGGGGTGTTCGGTGGCTGTGACGAAGGGCAAGGTGGAGCATCGCTCGGCAAAGCACGCCCTCGGGAGAGCCCCTTAGCGAGCGGTGCTACATGCGCCCATTGAGAGAAGGAGGAAAGAGGGCCGGAGGAGGCCCACCGCGGGCGAGAGGGGGGGGGGGGGGGGGGGGGGGGTAGGGGGGTAGGGGAGTCGGGGATGGCGTGTGAGGGGGCGCCGCGTGCGCGTGAGCGCATCTACGTGCGCTCGTGCGCATGGTCATCGGCAGGAAGCTGACCAGAGGGGCAGGCAGAGC